GCTTCTTCCTTCCCCTCCCTACCCGTTTTCTTTCCTTTGCCGCCTTTTGCCCTCTCTGGGATAATGGAGATAGCTTCATAAAAATTCCTTTTCTCCCGCGTATGCGATAGGCTATCGTGAGAGATGGCAATTCCCAAGTTCCAGTAACTCCAGCTATGCTGGAAGGAAACCTTTGAAGCTTGTAGCTGATGAACCCTTGCTAGAATGTTTGATGATAGCTTCACTGTCCCACTAAAGTCTCCCAGCTCAGGCTAACAGATTTCAACACCTTGTATGAGCACCATCATGTGTGATGGAATATGACAGGGAAAAGAATAAATATCTTTTGTTCCCACCGTAATTATCATATTAAACAAGGAAGCAGCACACTGTACATGTATATAGTTTTATTGGAATTTTTTTTATTTAAGTCAACCCATCTAACATTAGAAAGAGAAATATATGTTAGTTCACTACTACTGTGAAAGGGCACCCTGTTAGTTCACTACTGTACTCGCCTAGTTGTGGTTGCAGGGGTCTATTCATAGCTCCTGGTCCCACCTCTTAACTGGTCGCTACTAGGTCATTTTCTCTTCCGTGAGTTTTATCATACCTCTTCTTAAAACTATGTGTGGATCCTGCCTCCACACCTCCATTTCCAGACTGTTCCACTTCCTGACAACTCTGTGACTGAAGAAATACTTCCTAACATCCCTGTCACTCATCTGAGTCTTCAACTTCCAATTGTGACCCCTTGTTGCTATGTCCCATCTCTGAAACATCCTGTCCCTGTCCACATGGTCAATTCCTCGAAGTATTTTATATGTTGTTATCATGTCCCTCCCTATCTCTCCTGTCCTCCAGTGTCATCAGGTCGATTTCCCATAACCTCTCCTCGTCGGACATACCCCTTAACTCCGGGACTAACCTCGTTGCAAACCTTTGCACTTTCTCTAATTTCTTGACATGCTTGGCCAGGTGTAGGTTCCAAACTGGTGCTGCATACCCCAATATGCGCCTGACGTATTGGGTGTACAGTCCTGAACGACTCCTTACTGAGATACCGGAATGCTGTTCTTAGGTTTGCTAGTCGCCCGTATGCTGCAGCAGTTATTTGGTTGATGTGCGCCTCTGATGTGTTCAATGTTAGACTCACCCCAAGATCCTTTTCCTTAAGTGAGGTTTGTAGTCTTTCGCCCCCTAGACTGTGTCGCACTGTTAGTTCACTACTGTGTGTCGCACTCTGTTAGTTCACTACTGTGTCGCACTGTTAGTTCACTACTGTGTCGCACTCTGTTAGTTCACTACTGTGTGTCGCACTCTCTTAGTTCACTACTGTGTGTCGCACTCTCTTAGTTCACTACTGTGTGTGTCGCACTCTCTTAGTTCACTACTGTGTGTGTCGCACTCTGTTAGTTCACTACTGTGTGTGTCGCACTCTTCACTACTGTGTGTGTCGCACTTTGTTAGTTCACTACTGTGTCGCACTCTGTTAGTTCACTACTGTGTCGCACTCTTAGTTCACTACTGTGTCTCGCCCTTGAGGAAATATACTACACAAATGAGTGAGAAACTCTAGTTCTGTTGAAATACAGTGTGTAAGAAAAATCCAGATCAGAGTTTAGCAGCACCATCAAGCCAGTGGTGAGTGTTGTAGCCCACCACAGGTTCAGCAGCACCAGCAAGCCAATAGTGAGCGTTGTCGTAGACCACCACAGGTTCAGCAGCACCAGCAAGCCAATAGTGAGCGTTGTCGTAGACCACCACAGGTTCAGCAGCACCAGCAAGCCAATAGTGAGTGTTGTCGTAGACCACCACAGGTTCAGCAGCACCAGCAAGCCAATAGTGAGCGTTGTCGTAGACCACCACAGGTTCAGCAGCACCAGCAAGCCAATAGTGAGTGTTGTCGTAGACCACCACAGGTTCAGCAGCACCAGCAAGCCAATAGTGAGCGTTGTCGTAGCCCACCACAGGTTCAGCAGCACCAGCAAGCCAATAGTGAGCGTTGTCGTAGACCACCACAGGTTCAGCAGCACCAGCAAGCCAATAATGAGTGTTGTCGTAGACCACCACAGGTTCAGCAGCACCAGCAAGCCAATAGTGAGTGTTGTCGTAGACCACCACAGGTTCAGCAGCACCAGCAAGCCAATAGTGAGTGTTGTCGTAGACCACCACAGGTTCAGCAGCACCAGCAAGCCGGTGGTGAGTGTTGTAGCCCACCACAGGTTCAGCAGCACCAGCAAGCCGGTGGTGAGTGTTGTAGCCCACCACAGGTTCAGCGCCTTCACATGTGTTCCAAGGCACCATTGTTTTGCCAGTCTTAAGACCTGCACCAGTAAACGGGTCATTTTATGAAAATTAGAAAGAGAGAACAACTGAGGGAGAAATGGAATGACTGTGTATTAGTAAACAGATCATTTGAACTTGTTCCAGTATGTATTGGTGATCATCTCCCCACACCTTCACCCGCCTCTTGCGGAATAAATCAAAAACATAGCTAGATTTTATCACTATGTAACTC